TACACACACATATATATATATATATATATATATATATATATATATATATATATATATATATATATATGTATGTATACATAAAGACAAAAAATTGTCCAACATTTGTATATTTTTTATTAAGTTGTTCATAAGCTATTTATTTCACCCAAAATTAAAGCAAATATATGAACATTAGAACGGTTCATTATCAGACATAATAGACATTCATTGTCTGTTATATTTAACAATATGTTTAAATAATGATCTGCTGCCGCAATACACTAAATTTATATATATATATAAATGTTGGGAGGTTTATAATTATTTACTCAGAGTTATAAATCCCTTACACAACTTATGACAGCTTACATTCCTCCAACAACTGTTCACTGCTTTTGTTCAGTGCATGAAGTTTGTGTAACAGGAGCACTAGGAGGAAAGATTTATTCTCCCCATTTGTATTTCCCCCTGTTATGGGCATTATTACAGCCATGATATAATAACACCAATATTTCATGGATGGAACAGAATGTCTGAAAAGAAAATGAATGACAAACATGCTTTGTTCTCAGAGAGACTTTTATACAAGTAAGACATATACAAAACCATATATACATGTCCTACACAGAAAACAGTATATCATATATATCTATATATCAAAGCAGTATGTAAGGAGAAACAAAAAGGAAGGGTCTTACATATATGGAGATACTTCTGTGTTTCTGGAGAAGCCATGTTTAGGACTCCAGATTCAAATGGGCTGGATTCATCTATGTCCCATCAAGAACATATTCCAGGAATGGGAAACAGTGAGTTTTGGGTTTTCCTAAATTGAGGATTGTGAGCTGGAGTTTCACTCTATATCTGTGAAAGATATATTCCAAATGGAAATGGCACCATGGCCTTGTAAGCTGCAGAGAAAGCAGATTAGCCTCTGCCCAGGCCATGGGCACCTAAGCTAAAGAAAGCAACCTTATGGTTTAGCTGCTGAAAACAAACTGAATTTGGCTGTTGTTTTTTCACTGTATGGAGTGACTTCACTAAATGAATGTCATGCGAGACAAGGGAGATAAGCTGTATCCTTACAAATATATAAACAAAAAACATAGAAGCACACAAGAAACTTGTGTTTCTGCTATGGACACTTATTCTTTACACTAGTTTAAAAGCAGTATTTAAGCTAGCTCCTGCAGTGTCTTGATTGGGCCTTCAACTTGTTCAGGAGTTTGAGAGTCCCTAAGTCTTTGCATATTCACATCATTGGAGGCTCTCCTGACTGCCATTTGATCTGGGTTCTCATTTGCATGGGACTTTCTTTTCCTCACTGCAGTCCTGGCTCTTTTGATTGCAACCTGGACCTCTATTTGCAGAAATTGCTTTTTGCAAAGCATACTGCTGCCATATACGATAGGCAACAATAAACTACAGAAGAACTCAAAATTGATTGCTGCATTTAAGTATTGCATTAATATTTAAGCTTACCTTTTGAAAGTTCAATGATAATTCTTCTGCCCCCACTTAATTTAATAACACTTTTATGTACATAGGTCCTTACTTTCCATACAAACATTTATTTTTATTTCATGGGCAACTTTTGCTGGATTTTGCAATTAATTTCAATTATTCACAAATTTATTTCCAAGTTATAAAAACTGTTATTGTACAAAAAAATTGTCGCAAAAATCACAAAAAAAAATTGCCTAAACAATCATGGTAATAAAAAATTGTTAACCTAAAATTTCAGGAATGTTTTTAATTTGCTCACAGAGTCAGACTGATTCCAAAATGGTATGAGATGTTATTACGGCCTCTAGAAGTAAAGCTGAAAAAGTGTAACATACTGAAATTTGCATTTATTTATATAAGGGTTGACTGTATTGAAATAAACTTAAAAGGTCTCCATTTTCCTCTTGGTTCTGAAATGATTTATGGGAAGTAAAGATATGAATGTGTAAACATGGTTGAGCTCATGTCAGCCTCGTGCTGAGTTGGGAAGACCTAGTATGTCTGTTTTTCTTTTTGGTTCAGAAATAATTTGGATATGAATGGATAAAGCTGGTTGAGCTCAAGTCAGCTTCATATTGAGGTGGGAAGGCTGAACCTCTACTTCATGAGTACGGCTGCTAAAACAATGTTGTTGTTAAGTGGAAAAAGTTCAGTCGCCAGTGGATCAGGGAAACTAACATTCCAGTGGGAATGTTATTGTTACATGATTCGTATCTTGCAGCCAAGAGGAGAAACAGAAAGATTCCGTTCTTTTCAGAAGTGGAGAGGGGGTCATAAAACTGTATATGTGACCAGAAACCCTTTAACTTGCATCATGGGAAAATGGTTTTATTAATTTCTTTGTATTTGTTATTATTATTTTATTTATTAGTTTTATTTCATTTTTCGCACAATACCATAAACTATGTTTTTATTGCATTATAAATAGAGAAAAATACAGAATCACTTTTTTTACTTGGATGATAGTAAAGTATGGGATTCCTGCCAGCAAATATCAAATGTCAGAATCAAATTCAATGAAGAAACTTGATCTCTGGTGTCCCCAATATATACCAAGCTCACTTTAAAAGATACCCAAATAGGCTTTGCACTCTCGGTATCACAACAGAGCATAGAGGAACAAATTGCATCAGAACGTTGACCTGGAAGCTAACTTCATAGCCACCAGGTATAGAATCACACATCAGAGATGTCACAGAGGCTAACCATATCATGTACACAGAGGGTTGACCTAGCTGAGCATAAGATATGCACATGAGAGACAACCAGCTGACAGGATATTAAATGTGTCTCACCTGAGAGGGAAAAGCCAGGGTTTCTCACATCCTCATAAAAGGATCCATGTTTAAAGAAAATTCTCAAAGATATAAACTTTCATGTCAACATTAACTGACAAAGTATATCAGTGTAAAAACAATAGTTTTACATAAAGAAGATTTACTCTTATATTCTTAGTGTTTGCAATAATAATATTAAAATAGTTCAGAATAATTTCAGTTTAAAATGATAGGATAATTAAATATTAGAATCAAAGCATAACCAAAAGAAGAGAGCAAACTGACTTTTTTAAATACTTGATTTTACATTTACAAAAAGTCTAAAAATGTTATTTTTATTATTTTAAAAATGTTAGAATTTTAAATGTATAATTGTCTAGGTTGTTTTTTTTTAATACACATTTTTTGAGAGAAGTGTATTTTTATGAAAGCCAGATGAGTTGTGTAAAAATTGTTACATTGTGGCTTAAGCAGTTGATACCACTAAAATTTGCTGTGGATTCATTTTTTTAATTCTTGGAGAAAAGTTTTGTATATATTAGCCAATGATATATGATCTCTTCAAGCCCTTGTGAAAACATGAATTGAGTTGGTATGACACTCCTTTGTTTAATAAAAGGACTGCTGATTGGTAGATAGAAAGAAGGAACTGTTGAGAAAGCAATTGGTCGAGGAGGAAACATTAGCACCCAGGCTTCAAGAGGACTGGTCCAGCTGAGGGGTTCATAAATCAACACAGGGAAAGAAAGAGCTGACAGATTCAAACCCCAAGACAGAACATTCCTTTCTGTGCCTCCCCCCCCTCCCCAAGAAGAATTTAGACTGAACAAACTTTCAAGTTTAGCTTTCTGGCAAAATACTATGAAAAGCCCTGATGATAACCTGTGGAAACATGAAAACCCTTTTGTAATGAGATGTCCTATTACTGAGTATTCAGTTAAGAATGGAGGTAGGTGCGTTTTGTATTTTCTGCCATGTGCAAGTTTTTGCTTCCTCTAACCTTTTTTGTCTTTGAATTTGTGAGTTTTCCTAAAAACTGTAACAGCTTTCCTTATATCTGATAATAATCCCCTTTTTGTAACTTTAGAAAATTATTATCCTGCAGTAATAGGCACACAAGAAGAAATTTTTGTGCAACCTTGTATTGTACCTTTTTTTGTAATATTGTAAAATAAGTGTGTTTTTCATTTTAAAAATTTTATAAAGTGGTGGTCTTCTTTTGCAATTTCACACCTATTATAGAGACTTGCTGTTTCTACTAAGTTTTGAGTCTGGCACAAGAGGATTTAATAGGAAATCAAATTTTTATAAATTTAAACATTCTTGGCAAACCTTACTCCTCCTCTCTTTGTTAAATTTCTGTAGTCTTGTAGGTTGTATTTAATTCTAATTGTATTTCATTCATGCGTTTTAAGCATTTCCTTGTTACATTCACTTTTAATTTTGCTTTCTTGGCTGACTATACGGTCTGAAAAATTCACCTGTGTAGACAACATGGCTACTTGCTATGAAAAATTTTACCACTTTCACTGATGATAAATGCTATTCAAAATGGAAAGAAATAGGTAAACATTTTTAAAGTCTTTATTTTAGGAAAAATATTTCCTCAACAGGGAATAGAAAACAGAAACATGTAGCAACAGGAGAAACACAGAATGGGTCACAATGACATAAAACAACATGAAAAAAGCTAACTGATTTTGATGATGCCATGTGACAAGCCTCAGAACATATATATATATATATATATATATATATATATATATATATATATATATATATATATATATATATATATACATAAAACTTAAACTTAAAATAAACTTAAAAGGTCTCCATTTTCCTCTTGGTTCTGAAATGGTTTATGAGAAGTAAAGATATGAATGTGTAAATGTCACATGAATGAATACACATAAAAATAAAAAATATTATCTAGTTTACTAAACTAGGTAATCTTTTATTATTATTTATATACATACATATATATACATGTGAGTTAATAAATTGTGAATGAAAAATATAAATAGATCTTCGAACTTACACACCCACACACATGTATCAATATATATATATATATATATATATATATATATATATATATATATTTATATTTGTATTTATATATATATATGAAATGGATCAAATCCAACAAATATTTTAATATATTAATATATATTATGTATAGATATGTTGATGAATTTTACTGGCAGATCAGTATTTTAACTTAATTCTTCACAGATGGTAAGTTTGAGATTGTGAGATTAACTTACTAAATATTGCAACACAATAGTGTCCCATAGATCATGGTCCTTCACTGTTAATAACATGTTGAAAGTCATTTTTTTTAGATCAGCTGTCAATTTAACCATATTATTACATATGCAAAATTCAATAAATGCAACATGATATACGGTTCATAACAAAAGAAATATTTCACTTAAAACCAAAATGTAGACAGAGTAATTTCTAAAACTGGCACTAATTAATAAAGAAATGTAATTCTCAGTGCAGTGGGGAAAAATGATCAGTTTTTGAAGATCTCACACTTAAAGATATAGGATGATTGAAATTATGTCTGTGAATATAATTTTTTTATTTTTTGTAAAACTAAAAGCAAAACTATTAATTATGAGAAAGAGAAAAATTTGACTTTTTTTTTACTCATACAAATATATCTCTGCTTCATTTCACTGAAAGGACAAATTTCTAGGAATTAAATTACTTTAAAAAAAAAACACAGGTACCACTTGTCAGTATTTGAACAGAAGCAAAAAAAAAAGAAAAAAAAAAAGGAAAAATAAAGTCACCAGGATTTTAAATGCTTATTTACAAAGAAGGGAATAAGACTTTCCCCCGTTTGATAAGATTAGTTGAGCATAAAACAATCTCTAACTACACTATACCTTTTTAGGTTTTCTTTTGCCAAACTCAGCTAAGCTTACTGAATATGTATATTGTAATAACCTTGTAAAATCAAATTAATCTGAATGTCTTATTCTTGCAAAATGATAATTTATGTAAAGTTATTTCGCCTTGAAACGTGCGTGACAAATAACTGATCAATGTTGTGAATTTAAATTTTATGTAAGAAACTTAATACAGTTCGTTCATGCAGTTCAAAAGACATGTTTGGATCCTTATTATCAGAATCTCGATTATCTTCTTATAAAACCCGTTTCAAAACTTTCTAAATATTGAACCAGCCTAGTGCCCCACACCAGTTGTGAGGAGAACCTATGTTCTTGTTCTATCTATAGTTATATGTTGAAAATAAATAATGACAATGTCGTCATCATGGTTGCTAGGAAACATGCCGGATATGACGCAAAACAAAGTTAGTTTGATCATCATCATTGCTAAAAATAACCACGAAAAACATCAAATAAAAAATACAGAAAATAGTTACATAGTTCTCCTTACTAATTAAATATGTATAGAATATAATACAGACTTATTCGAATATGATATAAATACAAATTTAAAAAGTAATGCTTTAAAAAGAATTTGTAAATAAATAATATTGTCACGTGGTTCATAAGGTCACTTTCAGTTTGTTTAACTTTAAAAAAATACAAGGTGAAATAAAAATGAAAAGAAATTATATAATAATGAACAAGATTTTTAATAAAAAACAAAAAAAAGAATTTTTATGAGAAATAAAAAATATATTTGAGTTAGTGTTTACTACTGACGTCAGAATGATACGAAAGTACGGTTTCATTTTATTTACTCCTGTATCTAGCTCCGCGTGGTTTCGATTTGTTTTTACAATGACTGCCGAGTTCACAGGTAAGTTGAAAATAATGTCTATATTGTGGTTAAAATGACCTGTTCGTCTGCTTTAGTTAAAAATCTAGTATAAGTTTTGTTACTTCTGAAGGTAATTTAAATCAGTAAATGCAATGCTTTTATTATATTAGTAGGCGCAGTATTTTATTTTAATAATGTTATTTTTTATGATTATTTTATTGTTGATTTCGGATTTATTTTGATTTTTGACTTTATCCATTTTTCTGACAAAAAAAAAATGTTTCATAGTTAACATAGAATGAATCTTCCAGCTACTTGTAAAATAAAGATGGATGTCATAATCTTCAGTTTGCTCTTTACAAATATATATTTTAAGATATTTTTGGTGTTTAATGTGGATTGTCCCGATAGAAAATAATGAATTTAATTTTACTTTAGAATAAATGTACATTATTTTTAAGCTCTGAGTATTCTTGCTTTGGGGTTTTTAAACGTATAAGAACTTATAAATCATTCTCGCTCGCTTCATGTTCAGTTAATAATTAATTCCAATTCAGTTGAAGTTTTTCAAAAATTCGAGCTAAGTTTAATAAGTTGAAGAAGGTTGACATCTCATCGCTTTTTTTTTTTTTTTTAATTCCCTCTTCTTCCAACCTTGTTTTTTTACCAATGAGTTTTTAGCAGCGATTTGTTATGTATTTTCAATTTAGTTTTGGATCTTAATCCATTCATTAGAAAATATCTTGCCATTAAAAATGTTTAGTTTTACTTTTAACTTTACTTTTAGTTTTAAGTTGTTAAATAAGTTTTTTTTTTGTTTGTTTTTAACATTTTTAATTACATTTTTACAAAGTTCAGATACGACATTGAATATTTTTGGTCTTTGTTTATTTTAAAAAGGTTTTTTTTTACACTTTAGGACATGTAAATAAATCTTTGTAAATTCCTAGTTTATATATGCTCAAATTAAATCTGTCTACTTTAAATAAAAAGTACTGAATTACACAATGACTAAACTTAAAGTTAAACACATTAATTTAAAAATATACTTAACTCACTTGATTTTTTTATTGCGTTTGCAAAAATATCTGTTTTAAGCACAAAACTTTCTTTTTCTGTCACTAAAAATGTGACATATAGTGTAGTGACTGATTCACGACCAAAATTTATAAAATCCAATAATGTCTTTTTGTCACATGAATGAATACACATAAAAATAAAATATTATCTAGTCTACTAAACTAGGTAATCTTTTATTATTATTTTTGAATGGATTTCCATCTGCGGCTGTCCTTGTTATTGATTGGTTTCATTTTTTTTAAAATTGTAGCAATTGTGTATTAATGTCTAGAGACAGAAATTTCAAGGGAAAATATTCAAAACCTGTTTTAAGTTGCGCAATAAATTATGCAATAACAATTGTAATCTGTCAATGTCAAACAAAATATTTGCTTTTCTTTGAATACTTGGTTGGAGGGTTTTAGGAAGAATGAAACGATATATCAGTTTTTAATTTGGAGGTTATTTTAAAAGTGTAATTTTTTTTTTTTTTTTTTTACACCTTAGGACTTTTGTTGTTGAATAAATTTTGATAACTTCGAATGTTTATGACTTTATGACTTTTATTTTGGCTTTTTGGGGTAAAAAAATAACTACTGTGGTTAGAGAATGAACATGTGAAGTGAATGTATCTTAATAAACACTTGGTTGAATCATCTATTTGCACACATAGTGGAGTGCATGTGGAAAATGCTGATTATGGGTTCATCCAACCATTGTTATTCTTTGAATTGTGGAGTCAACAATACGAGGAAAAATTAACAGTTGACGCCCTTGAAAATATTTTTTGTCCCATATTTCTGCAAGGATTCTTGTTTACAGTCTCAAATAAAAATGGATTTTTATTTTATACTGTAATTAATTTTTATTTCCGTAACGAATTCAGTTGTTTGTTTATCCCTCATTACTGCAAAAAGTGCTAGCTTGGGTTTCTTCAGATGTGTGTGTGTGTGTTTTTTTTTTCATTACTGTCAGTGGTTGATGCAGTGATTAAAATAAGTAAAAATAGTTGTCATATTTCTCATTCTGTGATGTTTAAAGTTTAAAACACCTCTCTGACCACTGGACTGACTTGTACCGCTTTCTGCTTATTTGTAGTGGGTGGTAGTTCATCTGCCAGTTATTTTGTTGACTAAGATTGAAATTTAAACTCAACATAAGCAAAAATATCAACCATTGCTTGTTCACTTCAAAAGTCAAAACGAAGGCTTTTTTTTTTTTTTTTTTTTTTTTTCTACATCTTTTATCTTTTCTTCATGTGTCTCACTCACCTCCATTATTTGACATTTAAGAACCTATATTCTTATTTTGATCTATTCCCTGATACATGTTGGCTTCTTTTCTTTGATCTTTGTGCATTTTTGAGGTTTTCAAGTAGTAATATCCATGTGTCTTAGCTAGCAGTGTGACACTTACTTTTTAAAAGTATATTGACAGGGTGTTTTGCATTATTTCTTTTAAATGTAAAAATCCCGTCCCTTTTTTTTTTTTACTTTCAAAAATAAATGTTTTATTCTTACAGTACTGTAGCTGAATTATTGCAGTTTAGAGTACTATCGTATAATTCTCAATAAAAGTTGCCAAAGGCCATTGTCATATTTTTCTTTTTAAAGTAGGATTATTTCTAAAGTGAATTTTTGAAGTACGTTTCTTTTTTAGTTTTCCTGAGGTTGGATAACCGTAAAAATATTTGTGCTCTGGCCTATTGTATAATTATTTTCCTGCATTTTTCAAAAGGCTTCTTATGTCGCCCTCGTGCTTTTCTGTGTTTCACATTTTGAAGCACGAATATTTTGTTATCCCTGGAACATCACTAAAAAAAAAAAGCGTACAGGTTTGCATCGTAGTTCTGTTATTCATAACATCATAATACTCAGTTAGTCATCGTATCCCAGCCTTTGTTAACTTTCCTGTTTGTCTTTTAGTTTTAAATTAATGCAAGCATATCTGTGAGTTGCGAATCACGCATGCTTCAAGTTCTTGTCTGTCTTTTCGGTTTTTAACGTTTTGGTCTTTTTATTTTTATTATCTCACTTATTTGTATTTAGTTTCTGTTTCACTTTTTTATCTCTTAGTTTTTATGTCCTTGTTCTCTTTTTTATCACTTAGTATTAACTTTTTTTTTTGAGTATTTCCTTTTGTTATTGTCATTAATGTCATATTTCCTTTTTTTGCGGGAGGGGGTATCTATTTGCTGCTTTAGTTATCAATTTAATTTACTATTCTGATTATTAACATCTTCTCTGTTTCGTTGTTGCACGAAGCTGCAATCTACTCATATTTCTACTTGAAATTCAGTTATGTTTTTTCTGGTCTTGTTTAAATGTTTTTCACAATTTTAAAACTAACTTTACTTACAAGTTGCTAGTTTAATTACTTAACGTAGGTCAAGAGGCTGCAAGTACCTAATGAAGATCGAACTCAATATGACGTAATTCTAGCGAGATAAACCAGCTAAATAAAAGTAAAACCACTGCATAATGGAGAAGTGTCCACTTGCTATATAACTTCATTTTTGACCGTTACGCTAAATGGTTTTACTTTTGGCTTTATTTGCAATTTTGAAATGGGTTTCGTTTGAGTTGACCCTCCACATTTCTAAGCTTTGATTCATTTCTTTTCCATTCTTGTTTCCTATTCCAAATTTTGTTACACTGTTTTCCTTTTTTCTTGTCTCTAATTTGGGATTGGAGCCGCTCATTAAAAATTATTTAATTGGTTTCCCCCGTCTATTAATGATAACGTGTGTAGCGTAACGGTTATCGGCACAGAAAGTGGAAATAAGCGAATGAAGTTCAAATTTCCGTTGCGTTCCCTTTCACACAACTGCTCTCCTTGAGAAAGTCATTAACCATTTTCTTCTGTGCTAGCCAATTGTTAAATAGCAGAGTAGACTGGGCTCTGGGGCCTTGGGTGGTAGCCAGTCTAGATTAAAGACTACTCTAAATTAAAAACCACGGAGAAAGTAACAGGAAACCGCTCAAGGATTCGTGGCAATTCACAAATAAAGAAACTGATTCTGTAAGCGATCACGGCTCCTCCCTACAGTGCAGAGCCATGATCGCTTACATTCTGAAGGAACATGGTGCATACACAGAAGTTATTTTTAGGCTGTATCTTTTTCATAATATTACTATCTAAGCTACTCAGTCTGGTATATTGCCGAAGCCTAGTATTACAGTTCCAGCAACGTCAATATTGACTAAATATTCTGTCATTAAAATTATTCTCCTTTCGTCTACTTTGTTATAAATAACAAAATAATACATGATTACTTTCAGTTCTAGGATGCTCTACTTTTCTGTGAGTCTTGCTCATATCTAACACATGCTAGTTGATCAATCCCATTATTATTTGCATTCGGACGTGAATTTGGTGACTGTAATTAAGTTCAATATCAGGACTGGGTTTCAGTGGAAAAAGAGATGAGCAATAACCGAGCAGTACAAGACTAGATATCCCTAGACACGGACAGCAGAACAAGAACAATCTGCCTCTGTAGATTAGATAAAGGGTTCAAAATTTTCTGAATGTTACACGGATCAACCAAGCTCATTTTTATGCAGGATAATGCTCCCTGTCACAAATCAAAATTGATGAAGGAATACTTTGATGAGAAGCAGGTGAGTGTTATGACATGGGCGCCACAATCTCCTGACCTCAACCACATAGAAAACTTATGGAGCATGTTGCTCAACTGCTTTCTTGAGGGCCTGTACTTTATAATGCTTTGAGGAATGCAAATCGTTTTTTTTTTTTTTTTTTTTTTTTAATTGGACCCCCTCCCTACCTGAAAATCAGCTCTGAATTGTAACATACAAAACTCAATAAAACAAAGATATTATTTAATTTCAAATGCTTTTATTTGCTTTTAGTTTTTTTTATGAATATGAACAATATTTTCTGAAAGCAAAAAACTTTTCGATGAATAATGAATTTTTAATACAATTATTTGTTATTTTTTAATTATAATAGATTTT